GAAGAATGAAATGTATCTTGTATCGGTACGCATTTCTCTTAGTGTATGCGCAAAATCAAGATCTATGGGTTTGACAATATTTTTTGTCATTCAAACCAAAGAGTTAACCCCAATATCAGAATATCTGTTAATTGTCTTTGTTGAGTTTTGAACCGCTTGAAAGCAGCACGAATGAACTCATTATGTGATATAATATATAAAGTGATAGTTAGTACTTCCTTGGGTATAAACTGGGACGATCCATGCACCCTATAATTATTCTGCAATTCGGACAGTATCTCCAAAAATTTTTCCTAGCATCCAAAACCTGCTATAAATTTTGCCTAGATGATCTTGGAGTAGGTCACTAATCTACTTACCACCCACAGATGATAATGACACATACAGTGTCCTGTACAAATTTGTCTAATAGAACTCATTGATAAGACAAACTATAGTAGTCAGAATTATTTCTCGCTCCATTATCTCTAAAATTTTCTCTTTATTTGATGAGTCTTTCTGATTTTTTTATGCATACCAAAATATATTAAAAATAACAAGTTATGTTATAAGTGAACAATTATATAAATAAATTACGACTAGTGCAGAACATATATGCTAAAATGTCACATCAACACATCACAGGATATTGTTTAGCATGAAGTTTAAATTATTGCACATCAATGAAGAGAAAAAAATTTAAAGAACACAAATTAATTAAACTGATTGTTTAAAATTTATCGGAGCTAGAGAATCATATGCTCCGACACAATCGTCATTAAAGACTCCAATTTTGTTCGATCCTCTAGAAGTATTATGGCTAATAAAAGTGGAGTCCAATAGCTTCATGATTTCTGCCTTGATCGAGTATCCCTAGATGGTCGTGCAAGCACTGGATGTCATACTGGTGCAAGTCATGACGATCTATGAAATCTGCTCGAATATATGTTGGGCGTCAGCCTTCATTTTCATTTTACGTTTCTGTGTGGAGAGTGTGGGGCGCTTGGAATGACTTGATTCACCTTGTTCTGGTGTTTCCTCTTAGACTCTATTTGAATGAGCATATTCGGGTTCATCTAAATTCCTGGGAAAGTCATGTGTTTTTGCCTAGACATTGGAGCCCGTGGCCACAACACCGAGCAACATAAAATCAAGTTTCTTTTCCAGCACGAGAAACCTTAAATTTTTTGGTATTGGGCAGAACCTACAATTGATAAAATCAAAGTTCAATAAATATGAGAATATAAAGAATCCATATAACATTTTCTATTTACTGAAATGTTTTATTTTCACCACTGAGAATCATCCACTGTTTCTTAACAAGATCTCAACCTAATCCAGTTATCATTCTCTTTAATTTCTTCCATAATTTCCATTCTTTTTTCAGTTGTTTTCCTTTGTTCTTTAATTGAGTTTTATCATACAATCTTATATTCTTTCATGAAAGTTTTTTATTATGTTTTGCCAACTTTCCTTATTGAAGTTTGTGATTGGTCTAATGTCAGTTTCGATCTCCTTCAAGCATCAATCACAGAATATGATCAGTCGATATACCACCTTTTTGGTTCCTCATCTGATGTATAATGTAGATAAAATTTTTTGAAAAAACAATATAATTATCTTAAAATTAAAAAAAAAGTAATTATAAAAATTGAAACAAAAATTAAAAAATACAATAGATTAAATTAGAGTTTATTGAAATTAATTTATCAAATATTGTTCCATCCAAGATCACCAACTGTATCATACAGACTTTAAAACCAGACAGTATCTATCGTTAACAATGTGATGCGTGCTTTATGACCAAGTAATATATGTGATTAACAGTGTCATGTATACTCTAAGATCAGGTAATATTTGTGGTTACCAGTATCATGTGTGGCAAGACTAGTTAGTGTATGTGGTTAACAATGTGATGTGTGCTTTAAGATTAGGTAATATCTGTTATTAACAATGTCATATATGTTCTAAGATAAGGTAATATTTATGATTGACAGTGTCAAGTATAGTAAAATCTATGGTTATCAATGTCATTTATACTCTAATACTAGGTGTTATCTGTGGTTACCAGTGTCATGTGTGCTCTAAGACCCAAGTAGTATCTATGATTAACAGTGTCATGTGTGGTAAGCTTATGTAGTATCTGTGGTTAACAATGTGATGTGTGCTTTAAGAACAAGTAGCATCAGTGATTAAAAGTGTCATGTGTGCCCTAAGACTATGTAGTATCTGTGATCAACAGTATCATGTGGTAAGAGAGGGTAGTATCTATAGTTACCAGTGTCATGTTTGCTCTAAGTCCAGGTAGTATATGTGGTTAATAATGTCATGTGTGATCCAAGACTAGGTAGTATCCGTAGTTAACATTTTGATGTGTTCAAAGCCGTCAAAACCCACATTACATATATGAATCCATAATAGTTCGCTTGTTTGTGTGCAAAACATCAACTAAATTACTCCCAAAACCATTAGTTATCAATGCAAAACTACAATCAAAATCACTGTCAATGCCAGCCACAACTATTAATGCAAATCTACAACCAAGATCAGATTCAATTCCTATCAACAACCAACATTGTAAAATTAGACACACCCACAATCGACAACCAACAACTAATAGCCAACAGAGACTATCAAGCCACACCCACAACCCACGGACAGCAGAGACCACCACACCACAAAAAACTTGGTTCTTCATTACCAACAATTATGCAACATCTTAGACATTTAAGACAAGTACCAACAAAGATGAATCTATACTATCATGACAAGATCAATGAAGCCTATCATTCCACTACAATTTGTTTGGACGACCACCCAAATAACTATAGAGATTTCACTTCGAGTAGCGATATTAAATTCATAATTTTTATGTAATTCCAATAAAATAAAGCGTATCACTCCATCTTTTGGATTTGCACGAAACTTATAAGGAAGATTTACATGTACATGCATACTACTCAATTCATATGTATGTACATATCTAGCAAGTAAATTTCACTGTCACAACCAAAACTATAGCCACACTCATAGCATAGAAGAAACCGAGAACTTCTAAGACAACCACATAAGTAAAATGAGAACTACCAAATCTGAAATAGATATGAAAATCGAGAAGCCCCAAGATACAAACACATAAGTAAAATCTCATTCCAGTCTTTAGAGAAATATGCAGAGAGAAGGTGGCAATGAATACGGGGGAGAAGTGAAGAGGACCGCGATGTTCCCAACACCAAATGCCCGAAGCGAAGTCGTAGCGAAAGAGAAGTGGGGAGGGGTAATATTGAGGATACAAGTGGTCATTTTCTGAATTGCTAAGGGGCACCAAGGTAATTTCCAATCCATACTGCAATTAGAGCCCCAGATCCAAGCTCTCTGTTGCCGTTTGCGTCTTCTCCGTTTTCAAAATGGGATTTCGCAAAAAGCAACTCAAATGGTGGCTCCCAAAAGCATTATAACAGCTTTTCGAAATGAAAAACAGTTAATAAGCACTCCTAAACGCACACTAAGTCTCTGCAAACAGTTAACATGCCACCGCAAAGCCTTGAGTGTTCTCCATTTTGATCCAGGACTTAATTTAAAATCTTATGTATAATTAACTCTCCACTAACCGGTGAAGGGTCAAGACAAACTATTGCATGAACTCTGCTAAGGCCCTGTATTTTTTGGCTGAGAATTTTAAACCTTATCTGACCTCTACAAATGTTTATGGATTTCTGCAAACTACTTTATAGGCCTCTATAAAGTCTATGGAGGATCTGCAAATTTAATTATGGCAGATTTGTAATTAGACGGAATAAATTCATTGTGAGAGTAATTATGAGCAATAATGGCAGCGATTTTGAACAATTAAATGAGGAAAATTTCTGGATTTTAAATTATTTATTTGTGATCCCTGAGATTCATAGGTAACGCATGTAAGATTGTTACCAATTGAATTTTGTTTTCTTCTTTTTTCCTTATTACTGTTTTGCTAAGTTGTTTTTGTGGAGAGGCTTAAGAGACGGTAACCTCACCCATGACCAAGGAGAAGGATACAAATCCGTGGAAGCTGTGAGAGATTGAGAATGCTGCTCCACTTCATGGAGCAAGGGGGTGAATGTTAGTTTTCTTTGCACATTATCCTAGGCGACGTAGCCTAAAAAATTATGTCCGGAGTTTGGACGCAGTTGCGTCCGGGCAACAGCTGCCATCCACCGTAGGTCGTTTTTTTCTCCTTAGCTCTTTCTGTTGGATCGCAGCCGGACTCCGGACGTAATATTTTTTTCCATATTCAGAGCACGAAAAGATTAGTATTCCATAGTTTGTTTCTTTTGCTGTGATTGTTTATCTTATTACTTTTACTGCTTATTAATTTCACTGAACTTACTCTCATTGGTAAATCTAAATTTGCTTTTATAATCTATGAGAGAAAGAGTTCTTATTTAAAGATTTAATTTTTATTTAAAAAGTAAAATTTGTTTGAGATCCAATTTAATTCATCCAAACTCTTGAGCAGTCAATCACTAGCAATGAAAAGTTATTCAATTCTGCATAAAAACCATTTTTAATCTTTACTTCCTCTGCATCCTTCCCCACTTCCTGTAAGAATAAGAAACCAAATGATATGAACTGCTTTACAAATTAGAAAATGAGTTTTTGCGCCGTCTGCCTGCCCAACTTACCAGGTGCACTTGCATCCTTTTCCTTCATTGACGTTGAGACACAGCTTGAAGTGAAGCTTTTTAAAAATTATACGCAATATTTACTTTAGAAGATTTCCATAAATACCATTCAATTCTTATGGATTTACATATCTAACACCTAAACTTCAATTTTTAAATCCATGCCACACCTTGTCTGTGCATGTAAAGGTGTTTTATGCTTTCTAAAAGTTAAAAAAGTATGTGATATGAAAGATTTAGATGTATAAATGTAAAAAAGTAGAGTTTAGGCCACTACACATGTAAAAACATAAGAAATTGGTGGTATGTTTGTAAATGTCCTCTTTTTTTTTGGTCACTTACGTGGGCTTTGTTCAGTTTCATATGGTGGAGGCAAGTTATCGAGTCCGAGAAGCAAGAAAGCAGCTCTATATTGAGAATGGAAAGCATCCTGAGAACGAGAAAGTGGCAGAGGCGGCTGGGCTGACCATGAAGAGGTTTACAGCAGTCATGCTCGCCCCTAAAGCCCCCATTTCCTTGGATCAGAAGATCGGAATAAACGAATCTCTAAAACCTTCGGTCTGTTGCATCCAGCCAACTCTGTTCGTCATGTCCATTGTCATATTTAGTGAAGCAAGCCCTAAATGACTTTATATTTACAGGAAATAGTATCAGATCCAGATGCATCAACGCCAGAGGAGATACTTGCAAGACAATTCATGAAGGAGGATCTGAACAAAACTCTTGATTGCTTGAACCAGAGGGAGAGGAAAGTGGTGCGATGGAGGTTCGGAATGGAGGATGGGAGGATGAAGACGCTGCAGGAGATCGGAGAGCTTATGGGTGTTAGCAGAGAGAGAATCCGGCAGATTGAATCCTGTGCCTTCAGGAAACTGAAGACCAAGAAGAGAACTAAGAATTTAAGACAATATATGTGCTTGTAAATCTTAATTTTTTCTTAAACTTGTTGTATCATTACCATCTGAAAAAAAAGCCAATATTTTTTAACTGCAAGGAGGCATATTGCGTTTTAGTTTTATATTTTTTAGTATATCTTGAAGAGGTATGATTTTATATCTCATGTTTTTTTAACATTTATAAGCGCAGTTATAATGTTTAAAAGATGAAATTTCAATTTTTTTTTTTTTTTTGTGAAATTAAAAATTTTAAGATTTTAAAGTTTAAATTTTTAAAAATAGAGGAAGTGGTATTTAATCTCATTTGAGAATTTGTTATTTTGACTTGAAGTTAATTAAACAATTAAATTAAAGGGGTTATATAACCTCCTACACAACCAGACATTCACTTGAGTATTTTTTTAACTGATGTGATGAAGAGGAATGTTTTTTGATAAAAAAAGTTGTGTTTATTTTTAAAGGAAAACATGATGGCCAATTTCTCTTTTTAGACTTTATTTCATAACAATGTTCATCATTTGAAATTTTGATTTTGCATTATTTTGATCAGGAATATCTTGATCATATTTTATTATAGAACTCTTCTTGTATATCTCTTCTTACAATTCAAGGGAGAATTCCACCCCTTGCTCGAAAAATTGGCCAGACTAGTGTAATATTGAGACAATTTAATTTTCTTTTTGTTTTTATTCACTTAAATATCATTAAAAAATTCTACAAACTTCAAAAAAATATATATCTAGCATTCGCTTTGATTATTTCCATGAGTTTTGAGCCTCTAATTCAACCACAAATTCCTCAATTGAAAAAATTGTTCATTGGAGCTATGCATGGCATTACTTGACCACAATTTTGGTGTTTCTATCTTTCCACCCAGATGCCTAAACTTCTTGAACGTATTAGCCACATGGAGGGCTATCTTATACTTCATTATTCAATCTTGGTGCCCCTCATTTCACCAAGGTTCTCCATCAATTGGTATCAAAGTGAATCCTATATTTCGATGTTTGGCAACAAAATTCATCTGTAAATTTATTTTTATTGAAATCTCATATTTGCATTTATTTTGCTATCTTATCATCGTAATTATTTTTAAAATTAAATTGAATCATAAATTTAAATTCTTAATGTTGTTAATAATAATTTTCACCTTCGCATTAGTAAAAAAAATGTCGAGGCTTTAAGGAAACCAAATGTAGAGAGTTAGTATGGAGTGATGGTATCCCAATAGAATGTGGAAATGTTTACGGGATTTTGGAGTTTCTTGGCTTGCTAAACTTTTTAATATTATTTTAAGAACTAAAAAAATACATGATGAGTGGAGGAAGAGTATTTCATCCACATTTTTAAGAATAAAAGAGATTGTTAACCCCATTTTTGTATGAGATATATTTGATTCTTTCTCCATAGAACTTTGGATCTAGCCTTAGGGTTTCCTTAGTAGCTCTCCCAAAAGACTAGTGGAGGAACCAATACCAAACTAAGGATTTCAGAACATCTCTTCATTTCTTATAGTTTCATATACTTAGTTTCAAACCCTTAAAATTCGGTTGATATGGTTAAAGTCAAGTTATTGAAGCTTAAGTTTTCTATAAACTGGGGGGTGTCTTAGGTTACCCCTTGACCCTAGAGATTTACTTGTTCCTCATTGGGCACTTTGCACCTCTCTTCACCCAATTCATAAAAAAACACATTGGGCATAAGGCTCATCGTGAACTAAGATAAAGTTCAACCTTTAATTAAAAAGAAAATAAAATGAAAATCAAATATTGAAAATTAAATTCAACAAAATGAAAATTGAAATAAAATTTAAAATTAACTGCAAATTAAAATCAAATTTTAATAAAATTGAGATCAAGGCTAAAAAATCTGAGTTCACTAAAAGATAAATTAATCATAATTAAAATAGAAAACAAACTAAACTTACAAAATATTTCAAATTAAAACACAAGAAAAATTACAATGTCAAAATTAAATTTAAGCCATAAAATTAAAATCACAAAAAAATCAAATAAGATTGCCGAGTCAACTTAAAGTCAAACTCAAAATTGAAATCAAATATAATTAAATTTATTAAAATCCTAATATTGATATAAAATAAAAATTAAATTAAAATAACCAAAATTCAAACCATTAAAATTAAATCAAACAAAATCAAATTCACCAAAATCTTAAAGAATAAATTAACCAAAATAAAAAATGAGACAAACTCAATGAAAATTTTTAAATTGAAACCTAAGTAAAAAAATAACAAAATTAAAATTAAAATCAAATTAATAAAATTAAAATCTATTAAATGAGGCCAAAGTAAAATAAATAATAATAAGTTTTAAATAAAAAACATTAAATCAACCTAAAATCAAGTTTAAATTATAATCAAATTAAAGAAATAACCAAAATTAAACATAAGCAAAAAAAAAACAATCAAAGTCAATTATAACCAAAGCATGATAATTAAAATCAAAAAATTTAATTATCAAAACCAAAATTAAGGAACATTAAAATCAAACTTTACAATTCGAAATATAAATAAACACCATATACAAAAATCCATTAAAATTTCAAGCCCACCTCATCCTACCACCAAAACAAAACCAAGCCCAAGTCCTAAAATCCAAAACCAAAATTCTAAAACCCAAATCCAATTAAACAAATGTTGATCTCATTTTGAATGAGGTTTATCCTCTCTCTAGTAGTCTACAATCTAGCCTTAGGGTTTTCCTATAAGCGTTCTTAGAAAAAGAGTGAAAGAAATACCACTAAAAATAGAACTTCAAACAAATCTTTACTCCTTTCCAAATGCTAGACCCAAAATCCCCAGCCCTTGAGCTGAGATGATTAGGGTTTAGTCATTGGAGCCCAAGTTGAGTTCCTATAGGATGGAAATGCATTAAGAGGCCCTTTGAACCTTAGAGACTTGAGTTACCTTTTCGTAGCCCACTTTGCACCCCAAAGGACTGGTGATCCTTATTTGATCTAAAAGAAGCCCATTGGGCATGAGGTTAACTTTAGAACAAGATAAAGTTTACCTTCTCATGGGAAACCCTAAAAGGGCTTAAAGCTCTAAAAAATGATCAAAATTGAACTACAAGGAAACTAAGGCCATCAAATATAAAATAGAACAAAATAAAAGTATATAAAAATCAAAATTAAAACTTATTAAGATCTTAAATATCACTAATCAATTGTTAAGTCAACTTAAAATCAGAACAACCGTAAATGTAATGAAAAACCCAACATACCCTAAGTAAAATGGAAATCAAAATAATTAAAATTTATTAAGACAAGATTATAATCATAAATCTCAACCTCTAATTAAAAGTTTTATGACAAAGTTCAAAAGAAATCATCATCAATTAAAACATAAGTTAAATCAATCAGGACAAAAATAATGACAATATAAAAATCCATATATGATTGAAACAATTGAAATTAATCTAATCACCCATTGAAACAATAAAAACTCTAAACAAATATAAACTCCAACTAAAATATCACCCCTAAAAGACCAAACATTATATTAAAACCCCAATGTTCAAAATAACTATGATAAAATAAAATTGAGTCAACCTAAATGAAATTCTTACAAAGCTAAGTCAATTGGAATTCAACATGAAAATTTAATGGATTTTAGTGTTCAATTTATAAATTACATAACCAAGCCCAAACCCTAATTGACTCATAACTAAGCTGAAAACCTAAAGGTCCATAACCAAGACCTAAAGACCCACATATGGCCCAAAGACACAACAGGAAAAATCAGAATTTAATTAGACTTATGACAACCACTAAAAGACAAAGCAGGCTATCATAATCCAAAAATTGTCCAAGTTGCACCCAAGTCAAACCAATCCAAATCAATTAATGGGAGATGAAATCCAGACCAAAAGCTGGTCAAACAACCTAGACTAAGTCCTCCCCATTTGCTTCAAGCTCAGCCCATGCCTCCTTCATAACATTTGGAGCTCCACAATAATCAGAGCATCAAAACATGGAAAAGCTTCCCTTCACTGCACAATGCCTCTGGTCACCCTCTACCTAAGCCTTGATGAGCCAGCAGCGATTGACAAGCACCTCTCAAGCTCTGTCATGGCCTCTAATTTCCATAAGAGGCTCAAAATTGAGAGCTCCCCATGCACACTAAGCTTCCAAATGCTTCACCGAAACTCTCTGCCTTAAATACCAAAGTTGAATCCACAACCATAAGCGACCTAACCCTACCATTCCCAAGCCTTTCTCACCATTCCTTAACCCTAATTTCATCATCAAAACCTATGGCTTCTCATGGTCTTAACACTAAACTCCAAATTAGTCCTCCTATTAGCTTCATAGAGGCTTAAAAAATCCTCAATCAATTTCTCTCTATCTCGCATTTAGAATCAATTTTATTGAAGTTTGACGATTAGATCAATAAATCTTTGCGCTCGATCACGAACAACTCTTGGTTATTTGTCCCATGAGAATGATGAATCAATTTTATCCTTTTCCATGTATTAGAAATAGACGGTGGAGATTAAAATGCACGGGGTTGTAGGATCATCTCAACACACACGATCTTGGGCCACCTTAGTATAGGAGTGGAGGGTGAAGCGAATAAGAGCGCGCCACTAGATTTTAGAGATGACGAGGATGACACGATGCTTACGTGTTTAAGTAAGAAATTCAGAATTTTCAAATTAAATAAATCCAAAAAATACCAAACAACTTTAAAAATTATAACTTAATAAAGAAAAATCACAAAAAAGAAAAATACCTCTGAACTCAGTAAATATAGGAGAATTTAATAAAATCAAATCTAAATTAATTTACATATAATAAATTTTAAAATGAATAAAGACTATTAAAAAGTTAAAAAATCATGGAAATTTAAAAATATATAAAACAATACGAAATTTGAACCCAACGTTCCCCATGTCCTTGAGGATATTCTCTGTTTTTCTTAAGGGCAGAGGACTATTTTAAGACATGAAAATACCCATAAAATATGAAAAATACCATTTTTTTTCCAAAAATAAATATAAACTTTAGAAGAAAAAAAAAATGTAAACTCGGTGGGCAATTAAAAGGAAAATTAAATTTTGTAAAATGGTCAACTAAATAGTCAATTCTTACATCTGAAAAT